TCTCCTCCAGCGGTTCCCGTAGGAATATTCCCCATGTTATTAGAAGCAAAAACTTAGTGCAGTTAGAAGGAAAGCGGTTCAGTTCGATTTCCGTCTCTTTCTGCCCCTACAAGGACTAAATTCTGTATGGAAAACTGCGCTGTCTGAACCAGCTGACAGGCCCAGTTTATTTTAATATTAACTCTTCTGTCATAAGCATTCAAAGTGCAGAGGTTTCTATAAACCGTACAATTCGCTCCTCACTCCTCATCATATTCAAATGTAAGAAACTTCTCTCTGAGATTCAAACCGAGCTGCAAACAATTTTCTTCAGGCAACCTCACCGCCGCGCAAGAAACTACGTTATATGTTTCGTTCATTTGAAAAACAGAGACTGAATAAAACTACCGTAGCATTACGGGAACAGGATTTGGATATTCTGAGATGAAACGCAGTGCATTCGAGTAATCTCTGGGAGACCACATTAACATAATGTTCTGTGCCGTGGGGGCCTCAAACAGCTTATGGCAGGCATGTCCAAAGCCTTGATCTCGATCTACCGGTCGATCGCGAGACGATTTTGGTCGATCTCATAGGCTTATAAGGAAATTATACGTGAAAAGCATGTAAACTCGCTTGTAATATGATTATATTCAGATTATGAAGGGAAAATACGTGTTAATGTAAGATTTGAGGCTTTCACTGCGGTGACTATGAAGAAAGCAGTCTTCTGGGATTTGGCACCGTGTATATGTGGTGTTAACCGACGTTTCGGAGGAAGGTTTCGCCTCCATCTTCAGGGTAGAAGGAAAAATATAAGAAATCCGCAAGCGAAGAGACCGTGAGAACCGGTTACCGGTTACGGTGCCAAATCCCAGAAGAATGCTTTCTACATATTAAAGTAGTCTGTACTTTCAATGTATGTTGTTTCTACAACAAACGTCATGTGTCGTGTTATTTTTACCAATATTTTTGCTTAGAGCGTGGTACGGCGATAGGAGGGGGTGGTAGATCACTGGCAGTTTTGACGCTAAAAAGTCGATCACAACCTGTTTGAAGTTGGCCATGCCTGGCTTACGGGATTCGGGTATTCAAATTTATCGTCTGGAATTACCAATTGTGAGTAGTGCGCTGCTGTCTAGAGGTGCCCTCGTCTTCTCAACAGCCAGAATGCAATACATGTATCATGTTCAGATTATGTCCACATTCCTTCTACAACAGCAAAACTAACCTTACAAATTTCTTTGAGAGTCATTTCAAAATTGTCCCAGTATCCGAGGATTTCCTGTGATCTCCCTTCACCATCAAACGTATTCCATCTCATAAAATCAACATTTCTTTTTCTATAGTTGGGGGCACGCGGTAGCGTAGTTCATTGAGGCACTATGCTGTAAGGCGGAAGGTCGCGGGTTCGATTCCTGATGAGGTTAGTGGATTAGTATACTGACCTATAATCCTTCCAACCGCATTATGGCCCTGTGGTTAACTTAGCCTCTAACAGAAATGAGTATCAAGGATCTTCCTGTGGGTAAAGGGCGACCAGAGCATAAGGCCGACAACCTCACCGCCATCTGTGAGCAATTGTCTATAAGATGTGGGAACCTCGACGTCTCATAATCCTAAAGGCTTCCACGGCCTGTTGCAGAGATAGCTTTAACTTTATCACAAATATTTCGCTGTATTTCGTAGTATTGATAAGAGACGCTAAATGGAGACCCTTAACCACGGAAAAGGCAAAGCTATTCCTGTAACAGGCCTTGGAGGCCCATAGGGTAGTGAGACGTCGAGGTTCCCACATTTTCTCTAGACAATCGGCTCATAGATGGCGATGATATTGTCAGCCTTACGCGCCGGCCGCCCTTTACCCCTAAGAATATTCCTGGTACTCATTTCTGTTAGAGGCTGAGTCAACCCCAGGGCCATAGTGCGGCTGGAAGGATTAGATAAATTTTAAAAATTCAATGACCTCATCGGGAACGGAACCCGCGACCTTCCGGCTTATAACACAGTGCCTCAACCAAACTACGCTATCGCGTGTCCCTCCTTAAACAACCTCGAAACCAAAGAATTCAGACCGCATATTTTTAGGAGACAGGTATGCAAAAGACATGCGGTAAACTCAACACAGATATTACAAAACTTTTATATTTTGGAAGCACCGGATGTAGCGAGGCTTCACGAGAATTTCAGGCGTGCCGAATTGATATGAAACATAACTAGATTCTGAATGTTAAATTTAAATAGGGAACGTTTCGAAAGAGGAACGCATTTACATGATTTCAATGACCATGTTCGTAAGCTCTTCGTGGGGTTGGGGGTGGAAAAGAGTGAGCTTTACTGATCTCCTGCCCTGTACATAGGTAACGTGAGTCCTCGGCAGAGCTCCGAGAGCAGCACTCCAAGTGGGGGGGGTTGAAGGGGAAATTAATTAACATAAGCCTAGAGGAAATGGTTATAGAGTACGGGCCAAAACGATGTCGTAGCGTGCTGCAAAGGAAGAGGAAAACTGTATATTCTAATTACTGTTTCCAGCACCACTGTAACAGATTCTGAAGCCTTCTCTTCATGCTGAAAGTAAAGTTTTAAAATCTTACCCGTTTAAAATATTATTTCTCTGCGAGATAAAACAAATATTCCTTGTGCAGCACAACTACAGGAACCTTCCTACATTCCAAACAGACAAAACAAAACAGAATTACGATTTTCCCGGTAATAATTAATATGGAACGTTACATTAGTTAAAAACGCATCATTTAGGCGATCTTAAAGACATGAAATTCGACCATATTATAATGAATATACTATCACGAACTCAACAATAAACGAAAGCGTAACTCCAAGATAAAACACGCATACATCGTATGAGTTTTTCACCGGCTCTACAGCCCCCTTGGGCCCTGGCCCCCCATTTTCAGTTTCATGATCATCCCACAGACGGTAGGACTCCCTGGACGAGTGATCAGCTCGTTGCAAGACCGCTACCTAAACACAGGACAACACAAACACAGAATAAACACATACACATACCAAACATCCATGCCTTATATGGGATCCGAACCCACGATCCCGGCTTCCGAGCGAGCGAAGACAGTGCATGCCTTAGACCGCTCGGCTACTGTGACCGGCAATGTATAAGAATAATATATAAGAATTCAGTTCGTACCTCACAGGAAACAGATCCGAACCCATGATCCCGGCTTCCGAGCGAGCGAAGACAGTACATGCCTTAGACCGTTCATCTACCGTGACCGGCTCCGTGATATAACTACGTACCTAAAATTTATTATATCAGAATATAAATTAGTACTCCTAACTCCATAGAACTTACTTTCATGGAGCTCAGAGTCCCTTAACTAATGAGGAAACTCCCCGACTTCCCTTAATCCGAAATTTCATTACCACATTGATAAGAGCCCATCACTAAACCTGTCTTGGATTGATAGCGCTGTACGATTTCGGTGTTTGGATGGAGGCTGTCCATATGGGTTTGATTATTGCTTTGTAGAGGAGAAATTTAATTTCTATTGTCAGTGTTGATCTTCTTTCAAGTAGCCAGTGCGTTCGTTTCGCTTTTGGTTTTCATGTGCTTTGCCCATGCTAGTCTTCTATCAAGATGCATGCCCATCAACATTGCCCATTTGCACTGTCGGACAGGTTTGGTTGCGTGGGGCGAATGATTTGCTTCGATTTGTTTTGATTCTCCACTTCTTCGCCCAGTCGCCGAGCTTAAGTTTCACGTATGACGAAAATTGCTCTGCACTGGCGAAGGTAGCGGTTGTTGCGTTGTCTGACGTCAGGAGGTCGCGTCTGGAGATACGACACTTCCTGGCGGTACGCCTGCTTCAGTTTTCCTCTAGATTTTATTTTTGTTCTTGAATCTCACTTGAAAGAGTCTCTCCCTCACATACGATTCTAATGTTCTACAATATGCATGGGGAAGGAGATTTCTGAATTTGAACAAGAGGCCTGGGTGCCAGACTTCACCGGACGCCTGTTTCAAGTCTAAAAGGCTGCAGAGCGCTACGGCCTTTTTGTAACGTTCCTCTTATTATCTCTGTAATTCGCCGTATGTGTTCTGTGTTTCTGTCGACATCCAAACTTATGGTCAGGGAGTATTCGGTTATTTTCTCTCTTTCGAAAATTTTACTCATTAAGCCGGAAGGTAGCGGGATCGAATCCCGATGAGGTCATTGGATTTTTTTTTTCAATTTACCTACTCATTCCAGCCGCACTATGGCCCTGGGGTCGATTCAGCCTCTGACAGAAATGAGTACGAGGAATATTCTTGGGGGTAAAGGGTGGCCGGCGCGTAGGACTGACAACCTTGCCGCCATCTATGAACAGATTCTCTAGAAAATGTGGGACCCCCAAAATCTCACAACCCTATGGGCCTTCATGGCCTGTTACAGGAATACCTTTACTTTTCATTTTATTGGGAGCAGGCTGTTGGGTCTACCAGAGTTCCCATGTTTAGGGATCGTTACGACTTCCCACTGAACTGGGCAATATCCCGCTATAATAACTGCGTTGGATACAGTTCTTACATGGACAATGCCTTTTCTTGGCAATTCTTTCAACATTCTCACTGTAATCAGGTCATATCCTGGGGCTTTCCTTGGGTTGAGATCCTGTACTATGTTTTTAATTTCCTTCGGTAAGGAATTTGATTGGTGGTGTTATTTGTAGCTGTTCTTTCAGCGTAAAATGAGAAATTAATTCAGAATTTGGGTAGGAAAACTCAAGGGAAAGACCACTCGGAAAATAAGAGTACATGACAGAATATTATTAAAATGGATTTTAAGGGATGATGATGATGAGTGGGTGGGTGATTGGAAATAGATTCCTTGTAAACATGATACTGAACTTTTGGTTTCCGTAAAAGGTGGCGAAGCCCTTGAACAATAAATACAATACAATACAATACAATAAATTTGCTCCATGGAGCTAATTACGAACAGTTGGCCGTAAGCGAGCTATAAGAAGCTGAATAAAACATCAGACATGAATATCAGATAACTTACGTGAGAGCGGTGTCCGATTAGCCATAACAACACATGGATGGACATAAGAGCATCACGCAGCAGACACGTACCTGCAACAGAGAGAGACAAATGTTCTCATTCGGCTTCGAAACACAGAGGTCTCAGCTGGTCTGCATCCTACTTGGCTCCACTGGATCAGTCGATTAAAATTAAAGTAGCCCGAATTATTCGGGTCCTGTTGCATACTTCAAATTTTCAGCAGAATTGTTTTACTCAAAATTCTTATGTCATTTCTAGGGAGTTAGAAGCAAGTTGGAGTGAATTATATTCTTGAGGTGTTAGTTTCAAATCCCGGTTTGGTTACGAGCTGGGGTTTTACGTTACTTTCTCGGTTTTCTTACGAAGCAACAAGTTCCATCATACAACAATCGTAACAATCTCCCCGCTCCATTACGCATTAAATATTCTCTTCAGTTGAAACAGAATCATTTAATAACATCCTCCTAACTGTTATGTTGTAATGTGACAAAAAATGACTAGTCAATTAATAATCTGATGTCACCTGTTTCGATAGAGAACAGTTAGAGAGTGCATCAAAGCACGTAACAAGACGAGCAATTGTGTGATGGTGCTGGCCTTCTTTGCTATGAGGCCATGTGCACGTGTTCTGTACTTGTGCACAGCATAACAATGCAAGGAATCATAATCAAAATGTTCACCACATGAACATCTCAAATCTCATAACACTGTCACGTGTTTGAGTGACTATAGACTGGGTTTGTATTAGTAATTGGATTTACTGAACACTTACAGATTTTAACTACAAGTCACTATAGCGCTATCGCTGTTTCACACACTCTGCTTCTCACTATAGCGAGTACTAAGTCTTCTGTCTGCCGTGTCTACGCCGGTTGTTGCCTGGCAACGGCTTCCTCCGCCGTATATCCCTAAGCTTCCGTGCTCACGTGCTTACAGGTTGGCGACTCCCTCACAACTAACCAAGTTCTAGATTTGTCCTACTTATAACACCTCGGCACGGACCGCAGAGAAAACAACGCTTCAAAACATTCTTCCATTGTTGCTTTTAAGAATCTTATGTGACAGAAGAGTTGAGGAGAGTGCAAATGTCACCGGAAACTAAAACTTGGTCTTTCGATGTCTACTCGATTACTTTCATTCATAGCGGAAGCGACCAACTTTCAATTACATACATACTCGTATTATATGCTCTGTTCTCTGGTAACGCGATTTCACGGTTGGGGAGAAGCCCATCGGATCAGTTCAGAGAGATGCTACAAGCAAATGTAATTACAATGTTGCTTCACGCTACAAGTTGAGCACTGCCAGAACACTGCTACATCCAAGTGTCAGGACTGTAATCTCCTCGGGGGGGGGGGGGGGGGCAAAACTCAGA